CCCTGTGCGCACAACCAGCGACTGGCGTGTCCCCCCGACTCTGCCCTTTCTCCGCCCTCCGGCCCCTGCATTTGTTCTCCCCTCTGCTCCGTCACCCACGCCTCCCCCCAGCCTTGCCTTACTCCACTTGTGACAGCTCCGCCACGCTCCCCCTCACTCGCTCTTTCACTTTTCCTCCCACACTTCCTCTCCCTCCCTTCCCAAGCAGCGTGAGCACATGCGAGAAGGAAAGGGCAGGAGAAGGGGGGACGGGGAAGGGAGCCCTGGCAGCACTGGAGGCTGGCCGAGCGGGGAGCGCCTCCCCCGCAGCGTCCGCGGGCAGCTCCCCGGCGGGCAGCGCTGCCGTGCATGGTGCTCAGCTGCGGAGGAAGGCAGGCAAGACATGCCACACGCAGCGTGGGGGCTTCTGGGAAGCAGCCCGTTGGATCAGCACGCCCAGGCCGGGTCCGGCAGCACGCGTGTAGGATTGTGCGCCTGGAGCAACACGCCTGGAGGTGCAGCCCCAGAGCCTGCCGCGCGCGTACCCTGCGCCAGGAGGTCGGTGCGTCCGGCACGCGCGCCCGTTGCCTACGGGAGACGGTGTTGCACACCCAGCCTGGGCCAGGCCACCCAAGGACAGCCTCGTGTCTCTGTTGGTCCGTGCTTAGCGCGGGAGCTACGGCTCAGGCAGAGACACCAGGACTTCGCAGGGCTCAGAAGAGGGGCTACAGCAGGGCACGGATGCTCAGCAGGGTGCGAAGTGATGCAAAATAACCTACTCCAACACAGACAGCAGGACGCTCACACTAACTGGGACGCAGAGATGTGTTTGTTTGAAGCCCTGCCTTCAGATCCGGGGCACAGAGCGCTGCTGCTTCGCCCGCGACACGGCTGTCTTCTGCGCCCGGCCCGGAGAGACACACACAGCCAATGAGTGGCACACGTATGTCACGCAGCCATGATACCGGGCGTCAGGATACTTGCATTCACTTCCCTGATTGTGTTATAACAAGCACAATGTATCAGTGCCCTTGTCCAGGCCCTGCAAATGATTCATGCTTGTGCCTCGTGGATAGAAAAGCACGGGGGTTCCCCGACTTTTCGGACTCGAGGCACCCCTCACTGAACTCAAGGCACCCCTCGATACCACTTGCAAATGGACTGGCACCCGATGCCCAAAACGACTGTGTGTATTATAGTGCTTATCTCCTTGCAGAGGGGCCCGGCAGTGGGCAGGGACAAACATGCTCATCTCTCAGCACCCTTCAAAGCATCTGGCGGCACCCCAGCTCTACAGCGTCGCGCAGCACGAGGGCTGGGAGGCACCTCAGGGGGTCACATCCAGTCCAGCCCCCCGCTCACACCAGGACCAGCCCCAGCTGCGTCGTCCCAGCCGAGGCTTTGTTGAGCTGGGCCGTAAAAACCTCCAAGCGGCACCCTGGTCGAGCATCACCGTGCCAGCACCGGGGCTGAAGCAGAGCCCCTACCACTGCAGCAGTAAGTGGGTGAAATAGCAGGACAGGCGGTCTGGGTGCCAGCAAGCCATATGGGAGCACTGTGTTAAGGTGCATTACACAGCTCCTGCTTCACCGTGCTCCTCCCGAAAGGCTGGGGGCTGCAGCTGAGCACCGAGAAGCTCCCAGGCACCTTACCCCGAAACCAGGGGCTGCGAGCTCGCCTCCAGCACGCGAGCTGGGTGTGCTAACGGTGGTCAGGGGAAGCTGGAGGCTGTCGCTTTTTGCCTCATCATGAGAGACCGCCTGCAGCAAGGGCCAAAATCGCATTCGTTGCCAAGACTGGCCACGTTGTTTTCACAAGTCCTGGGGTCCTGCGGCCCCGAGCCCTCCGCGGCCAGCGTCACGCGAAACCACCAACTCGGCCTGGCAAAGCCTCCGGCGATGTAAGAGAAAGGCAGGAGGCAAGAGCCAGCAAATCCTGTTTCCCCTGCTCACGGCCAAAGAATTTCCTTTGTGTCGGGGCCCAGCGTTCGCGCATTCCCGAGCAGCAGCAGCCTCGGTCCAGAAATAACTCCCGCCTCACACAGCATCTCCACGCCAAGCACGGCTCGCTCCCACGGCAGGCAGCCCGCACCCCGACCGTCCCCCTCGCCATCCCCAGGACACGCGGCCCTGCCGGCCCCGGGCACGGGGCACGGGGCACGGAGGGCTATGTGCTGGCAGGCTCGGGCCCTGCACACTAGTGGGTGCATGAGTTTTGGACCCGGCTCATGCCTCTTGGTGTCTGCGAGGCACAAGCAGGGACCTGGAGGAAGCAGCCACGGTGTGCTACGGCAAGGAGAGCTCTGCCGCCTGCGACCGAGCGCGCGGTGGGCAGGCAGCGGGCCCAGCCAAGCAGGGAGCTAACGAATGAATGACGACGGCCCCACAGACTTAACTGCATAGATGGGGTGGCTTGGAGAGGGCTGACCCTGCCTCAGGCAGGGGTTGGGTTAGACGTGGCCTCCGAAGGTCCCTGCCAGCCCTGCTCCCTGAGCGCCAGGCAGGAGAAACCCCAGCCCACCAGAGACGTGGCAAGTGAAAAGTGAAAAGCAACCCTCCCGGAGCGTCACTGTGACGGGGGTGTTTTGGAAGAGGGGAAAGCCCGGGTTGTGCCAGATGCGAGGAGTGCTGTATGCCTCTCGTGGGAATAGGAGGAGCCGGAGCAAAGAGCAACGAATGCAAATCTCTAGGCACGTAAACAATGCTGGGGAAAGCCCTGCCCCACAGGACAAACAGCACATCCTGGTCTGACCCGGTGAAGAAAGCTCCCAGGCAATGAATGGAGAATTCTGTCTGCACTTGGTAATTCCAAGAAATGACACAAAGCTACACAGCGACGCAAGTGTCCTTTCACTTGCAAGATGGGCTGGCTCCAAAGTTTATTTCTTGAGTATGCATTTCCCCCCTCAGCACTTGGTATTACTTGCAGATGCTTCAATAGACAGAGCTGTACTGAAAGGTGTTTCCCCAGCCATATGCATGTGAAATGTTATGTCCCACAGGAAACAAATGGGAGAAATTACTTCCTGAGGGATGATAAGAACGGACAGGAACAACAGCCAGAATGAGCAGGCTTTGTGCAGAGAGTCAGGGATGAGGCTTTGCACAATGCACTATTGCTAAGATGCCCTTTGAATGCCCAGCACAGAGTGTCCAGCTGAAACATGGCACCACGAGGCATCATCAGGTTTGCACAGTGCTGCACAGAACTTCAAGAAGTCTTAATATGCACTGAATTTGGCACTCAAGAGGATAAAAATCCTCCTTAAAAAACACTATGGTAAAAACTGGAGGGCTGAGGCATCTGTCCAAACACAGAATCTGGACAGGAGAGAATTCTGCAGAAGAGAAGACCAAGGGGGATTTGATAGCAGCCGTCACCTCCCTGCAGGCGGGCTGCAAAGAGGATGGAGCTGGGCTGGTCTCAGTGGGGGCAGATGGCAGGACAAGGAGCAATGGGCTCCAGTTGCAGCAAGGGAACTTGAGGTTGGATATTAGGAAAAACTTCCTCATGCGGAGGGTAGTAAAGCACTGGAACAGGTTACCCAGAGAGGTGGTGCAGTCTCCACCCTTGGAGGTTTTTAATGCCTGGCTAGACAAAGCCTTGGCTGAGATGATGCAGTTGGGGCTGGTCCTGCTTGGAGCAGGGGTTGGACTGGATGTGACCTCCTGAGCTCCCTCCCACCCTCCTTGTCTGTGATTCTGGGGATCATGGTCCATGGGGCCTCTTAGCAACTGACCTTCACTGCCTTTCAGCCGGACAGACTTGCACGGTTGACTCCACCTCTGGAACGAAGCTTTGACCTCTCACATGCTTTGACCTGTACGTGCACCACTGTACTCACAAATGGGTTGGGGGGTTTGAACTAGGCTCCCAGCTCCAACTTCTCCCCCGGGGCCTTCTTAGGGCAACGAGCTGCTCTCAGCAGCCCTCCCATGGCAGCCCAGGACTTTGCAGACAAAGGTGGAATCACAGGATCACTCCTGCCCCGCCGGGGCAGATACTGGAAAAGCCTTGACATGTGCCCTGCTGTAGGTTACTTAGCCCACATTTCACTGAGGAGTCTGCCTCACACCAGGAGATCAGAGCCCACGCCCCCAGCATCCTTCCCCCAAACCCGGTGCACGGCTGCTCTGGGCAAAGCCAGGAGAGGCTGCCCAGCAGCGGGCTGCAAGGTGCACGTGCTGCACGGTGCTTACCTAACAGGGCCTGGAAGAGCTCGCTTTGGAAGATGTGCGAGACCTTCCCGATGGAGGTCTTCAGCTGCTGCTCATCTGGAGACTTCAGAGTGCTTTGGTATCTGGTCAGGATTTCCACGGCCCGCCAGGTGTCTAGGGAGGCAAGACAGGAGAAGCACAGTTTAATCTCTAATGCTAGAAAAACAGCAGCCAGAGATGGTCTAGGTAGGCGTCTTTGGCCTGCGTGCAGGGGGTGAGCGAGATGCCTCCGGGGTCCTCGTCAACCCGACGCTGCTATGAGCCCATGCACACGAGACCATTAGACTCTGCCCCGCTCACAGCTGGAGTGGCTCTTCCACCCCTCCGTCCACGTCCCTGCTGTCACTGGGCTCCCAGCCACAGCCGTGAAGCCAGGAGGGACAGTGCCCGGCCCATTTTGCCTTGCAGCGAGACCTGGAAGTCACAGCCAGGCACCGGCTACAGAAAGCGAGATTCGGTTTCTTCAGATTCCTTTTGAACCTGACGGCAAGAGCTCAAGGGACATGCCCACTTACCCCCAAAAACCTACCGCAGGCTCCACCCACGGTACAGAGCCACCCCAGAGCTGCACCAGCACCTCCGACCTGCAGGCTGTGGCTGGCCCTGGAAGCAGAGGAGGGGGATCCGTGTGAACTGCCCTCGGACAAATGGTGTCCCCACGGGACCCACGACCTGCATCCCAAGCTGGTCTTCATCAGCCTGGGGCGAAAGCTGCTTTCTGGGGCAGCTGGGAGAGGCCAGGGCAGGGACGTGGAAGGAGGAGAGGCCCGGGCTGGAAGAGCAGGACTGCACTGGGAGGAAGGGGTGCAGCAAAGCGGTGGTTGTGGGGGGAGGCCAGGGTGGGGGTCCCAGCACTGAACAGAGACTCATCCAGCCTGGGGAGCTTGACCCTTCTCTGGGCTCGTCCCCGGCACCGTTAGCCCTGGTGCAGCCCGTCCTGGCTGCAAAGGGCATCTCAGACAGGAGGAGCGGTTCTCGCAGACCTTGGGCCCCGGGTCCCTATCAGGGAACGTTTCCCTTTGTTAGGAGGCCGCCGTAAAACAAAGAGTGCCTGTGCGAGAGGGGGAGGGGACGTGTCCAGGGAGCGGCAGGGGCTCCTCGCCTGACCTAGGAGCGAACGCAGAAGAGACGGCCTGGCCCCGGGAGCCTGGCCGCAGCCCAGCAAGGGGGCTGGGCCCAGCAGAGCCCAGACACGACCGGCTGCCTGCAGGCCGTGCTCCCCCCTCGCGGCTGCTTCGCCTTCTCCAGCGGGAAAGGTGGTCTGCCTCCCACACTGGGGCATCACGCACGGCCCAGAGGGGGAAAGGGAAGCTGGCGAGGCATGAATAATCCCTAGCACAGAGACACTCGGAGCCTGCCTCCGAGCCCGCGCAGCCAGGGCTTCCCCCGACCCAGGCACGGCTTGGGGCTCCCTGGGATGCTGGGGGGATTCACGAGCTTCTGCAAATCCCAGCCGAGGGCCAGCGCTGGATGCTAAAGCCCTCTGCTCCCGGAGCAGATGTGGCCCAGGCTGGGGCCGGGCAAGCTGCTGTGCTGCCCACCAGCCCCAAAGGGACTTCCGTCTGCAGCCTGTCCACTTCTCGGCCCGCCAGCTCAGCCCAGCGAGAGGGGAGACCCCTGCCCACCAACAACCAGGCTGAGAACTGCAACTTCGGGGCATGCACGCAGGGTGCTGCCGCCCCACACGCCCGAGCCCTGCACCTGCCTGGCATGCAGGCGCTGGGGGAGCACCCAGTGCACACCTCCCGCCTCAGAGCGCCGGGCGCCTCCGGCCGCGCCGGCCCCTGCTCCCCCCCGGCCCCAGGAGGCTCGG